GCACGCACGAGGATGCCGATGGGCTCGTAGTAATTGATCCGCGCGAGAAGGAGAAGAAGGTTGTTCAGATGACCAGGGGGAAAGGGAAGGGCCGGGAGAGGGAACGGCAGCGGAAAATGGAGACGGGTCATCGGAGGGAGTGGGATCAGAAGGGGCGGTGAACAAGAGCTATATTTGTTGATATATAGCTCCAGACGGACGGAGATATAAGTAGTGATTCATACCTTTGATGGCTGACCATCTCCCATTGCTGGCCACCTGCATCTTTGGGCCAAATCCCTAACTAACTATACTGTATTATGCATATTATTTTGGTTTCATTTAATATGCCTTTTTTCCACACCACAAACAATGGAACTGGTTTGGTTAATGTATACAAATTCTATTTACCTTCTAAACACTTCACGGAGAACTATTCGCTACTCCCAAAGTAACAATTTAGTCAACCTCCCAGATTTCCAGCGCTCTATCTCCCATTACCACCATTCCTCTTCATTACCAACAAAAGAACGAGGGAAAGGAAGAAAAAGAAAGGCAAATTTTAGATCCAAAACTAATACATACATTGCCCTAGACTTTATTTCTCTGGGTATGTGCGTTCAAACATCCGTTCCCTCTTGGGTCAGCGGTTGCACCGCGTACCAGCTAACCCAGCGCCTTAGCATAGTACACCTGCATACATGCACAGGATATCCACGAGCAGAGAAAGAGACAAGAAAGACAGCCAAAGCTAATGTGAGAAAGGAGTAGCGAGGGTAGAGGAGGGATTCGATAGCAGAGATGAAGCAGAAAACAATAAAAAAAAAAGACAGAAAAGAGGGCGAGGGCACGGGAACGTGTTGAGACTTTCAGCCAAGTTAGAGAGGAAAAATCAGTCCTGAATGAAGGACAGAGCAGATGCTCAATATCAGGAAAAATAATGAAACCAATGTATAAAGATAGAAGAGGGGACAAATCTGAAAGGAAGACTCGTAGGTGCTGCGAAATACTAAATTGAACTACACTAATTTTAAAGTTTGGAAAGCTGCAGAAAGATATCAAAAACTTAAAAATAAAATAAAAAATAGAAAATAGAAAAAATAAAAGCTCAGAATACACTATCCATGGTAATTAGAAGTACTGCCTCCTAAGTAGACCATATCAATCACATCACATAGAACACTCAAGACAAAAGGCAAGTTGCATGATACAAGTATGGGTTGTATTTAATGCAGCACTCAGTAAAGTGCAGTTAAAAGCAAACAAAAAAAAAAAAAAAAGGGGGGGGGGGGGGGGGGGGGAAAAAAAAGGAAAAAAATAAGGGTCCCCCCAAAACAAAAGCCCCCAAAAAAAAAAAAAAAAGGGTTTTAAGGAAAAACCCGAAGGGGGGGAATTTTCCGGTTTTTCTTCAACTTTTTCCTTTTTCAACCTCTTTAAATTCTTCCCGGGGGGAACAGCATCTTATCCACAGGTAGTAGGTAGATTAGCCCCGAGTAAAGAAAAACCAAAAGCGAAAAAACAAAAAAAAAAAAGAAAAAGAAAAAAAAAAAAATACTGCCCAAAGGAAAGAAAAACCTATGACGGGACATTGGAAACAATTAATCTACCTAGAAAAGCATCGGATTGTAGACAGACACGGCAAGCGGTTGAGAGAGGGTGGCTGTACAGGAACTGCTATATGCTAAAGGCTATGTGACATTTAACAGAGTATATAGACCCCACGCCAAAAGTGAGCAGCAAAGAGAAGAGTGGGATTTCCGCGCCAGTTTCTCGAAAGCAGGGGCATAACGGATGGGACACCATTACTTTGTCCCAACAGCATCCGGGAGAGTCAGAGGAGCTGAACCCGGCATGCCGTGTAATGTAACAGCCTTTTGGACAACGTGGGAGTGAAGGCAGTAAAGAAAAGGAAATACAATTAAGAATCGAAGAAAAAGGAAACAATACAAAAACCAAGAAATATAAATGAAAACAAGTGGAAGCGAAGTGAAAAAACTGGGATCCCTATACAAGCTGGACAAAGCTATAATGCAATGCAAAATGGACACGATATGCCGCGAGTTTCAAGCCGGAAAAGAAAAGCATAAAACTCTAGCGGGAATCACTGTCGAGAAATACAGCAAGTCAAAATAAAATAAATAAAATAAAATACGAAAAGAGGGACGGAGGAAGATTTTTATTGCTGTTTTTGTTATTTTTCATCACCATTTTCATCATATCTTCTTCAAGCTGCATGCAATATCACTGCACAACAATTATCACTGCACGCAACAGAGCACACCTCTGACAATTCAAGAACCATAATAAAACGTTGGTTTCCTATTTCCCATTTAGACAAGTATCAAGGAAGTAAGGGAGAAGGGAGAGGATCCAAAGTTCTTTCATGGTTGTTTAGGCTGCTCCAAAATTACTAATCTAATCTTTCCATAATATCATCCTGGTGTAAAACTTTTGTATTTTGAGCGTCTCTCTTTCGATATAGTCATTTCGTCATACGTCGTTGAATCGTAAAGACATACTCTCGTCTGGGTTGGGAGAGGGGGGAAATCGGTTGTAGGTATTATTATGTCTTTTATTCATGAAATGATATACATTTCTCGCCGTTATCTTTGATTTGTTGGTCTATATTTACTCAACAATTATCTCAACATTGGAGCCGGATCGCAGTTCGTCACTTCCTCGAGTCTGATGGCCATTTTGGCGGCGAAAACCGGATCCACGTTCCGGAGCAGGGCCTCTGGGTTGTCTTAGGGGGAGACGTTCCTGGGACAATTGAGTATCGAAACCTAACCCGATAGATCGGTTGCTCCCTATTGGACCAGTTGTGGATGGTTGGGAATCCTGCTGTTCCCAGGAGAACATTCCACGAAGGCGTCTAGGACTACCCGAAGTTGGACCACCGATGCCTGTCCCGAGGGAAAGGCCTCCCAAAGTGTTTGCCAGCAAATTGTCATCACGTTGACCGCCAATTGTAGAACCAGAGAGGGTTGGTGTCAGAATGGGCGTGTTAGATGCACCGCTCGTATTCCCGTCGAAAGGTTGGAAACGAGTTCCATTGGACTGTAGAGCGGCGGGGAAGCTAGCAGAAGAGGGTACAGGAGATGGTGTATATGATCGAAGGTCCGCGAAGGATTTAGCTGCTCGTAGATTCTGGGCATTTCCAAAACCACCAGGAGAGTCAAGAACACTCAGAAAGCCTGAGTGATGCCCACGAAGGGTATTGAAAGGGCCAAGAGCATCGCCTCTTGCCTCACTGAAGTCGATTGTAGCAGCCCGGTTAAGGCCACGTCGGGACGTGTCTGCGGTTTGGATGGTGGCGGGATTCGCTGGACCAGGTGGACTTACGTTGGGGTCTGTTGCTCTGAACACATGAACCTGACGCTGGTCACCAGTCCCTCGCGAGGCATGTCCTAATCCCATATTGTGCGCGAGAGTGTGAACGGTGCGACGTTGCAGAGGCGACAGCTTTGCAGAAAATATGAGAGCTTCTCTGCTCGAATCTTGTTTGAACAGTAGAAGTTGAGAGTAATATTTAAGCGTTTCGGGTTCATTCATGTTAACTTCTATTTGGGTCAGCAGAGAATCGAGAAGACATCGACAAAACAAAATGATAAAAGGAGTATAGGAAGCAAAGGACGTACTTAACTCCGTACCACGTTGCGAGACCGGTGATGGAGAGGTTACTGGAATGTGTGATGTCAAAGACGTTAATGAAGGTTGCGAATTAAGTTGGGAATTAGGCATTGGGCGATGCTGTTCCTCTAGCTGGCCCCTGCGCTCACGCTTTTCGCGCTCAATCCGCTCCCGCTCTTGTAATGGTAGCATTTTCTTATACTCAACCCTAAGTTTCCTTCCCTGAAGCTCGAAATGGTTGAGAACTTCAATGACGGTGGCTGTTTCTTCAGCAGAGGTAAAGTTTGCAAAAGCCAGCCCACGGAAGACTCCGTTGTCGAAATGGTAGTTAAAAGCGTATGGAAGTGGCAGATTCATCTCTGTCATGAGTTGAACTAGCTGTTCTTTTTTCACAGCGAATGGAATGTTCTTGATGACTATAGCGGTCGGAATGAGCTCATCGTCTCCCTCAGGACTCAAATTCTCTGGACGCATTTGATTTGTTTGGAGATGATTAGTAGGTCCCAAGCTGAAGGGACCTGCGAGTCCAGGCTGCTGGTCAAGCCAAGTCTATAAATGCATTTCTGTCAGTGAGAACGAAAGAAGTGCAAACGATGCATTGCCAACTTACAGCTGGGAGGCCAGTCCTTCCACGTGCAGCGGGCTTCAATCTTCCAGTGCTGGTTCCCGTCCCTGGTCCTACACTTAACGTGTTCGCACTTCCAAAACCGCTTGAATTCCAAGTTTGGGAGCCAGAGAGGTCATAGGTATACGAGTTACCATGAAGGGAAGGGTTCATTCGATCCAGACGTACGGAGTCGTACCGTGCCATAGGGTCATCGTACATACCAGCAGACATGGGGCCAAAGACATCAAAATGCCTGGATGATTGGCGGTGGAGTTGTGGGTGAGGATGATGGCGCTGCGAGCCAGGAGATCGAGAAGCGGGATTATCGTGATACATGTCCTGAGACTGAGGGTGATAATTACTCATGGCTGCTGATGGGAACGGAGCGCCCCTTTCGAGTAGGGTTTTTATGGTAGTAGAAATTGGAAGGAGAGGTTGGTTTAAATGGGAAGGGCGTTTCCTTGTGAACGATGTGGTCGGGTAGACACGAGGGCCAAGCACGCAGTTATTTAACCATAGAGACGAAACTGTAAGCAAATATCAAAATAACAGCGACAATAAAAACGAGTATAGTTTCTCTTCTCTTTTGTTCTCCCTCGAACGGCAAAGGGACTTCCTAATATAATCTTTTCCAGGGATATCTGAGTAGTCGTTAACCGTTTACGCTTAAATTGTTGCTACCTTCAGGTCGTGGGATTCTCCTCTTTTCTTCAAATCAGATGAGAAGGTCCAGTAGAGTAGATTTTGAGCAGCTGGCAGATATATCTGATAATTGGAACGTATGGCGAAAGTACAAATCGCAGGGGAATCAGACGGTGTAGACCAGGTCGTCCAGGTCGTGATCATCAGTCGTATGCAGCGTCAAGTCGTTACGAGAGAACGAAAGAAGCGCACGCAGGGGAAGGAAGCGGAAGGACAACCAAGAGCAGATCTTCATATACGAGCTTGAACAGAAGGACGGGGATGACGACGATGATGACAGTGGTGATGATGATGATGATGATGACGACACGAGAGATATGAGACCATGTGGTTTGATGGATCCGCCCTGGTAACAGAAGTCGAGATGCATGCATGCATGCATCAAGTACCAGTGTGGCGTTGTTACCAGTACATGCAGAGGGTACAAACCAGGTCGAAAGAGAGTAATAACAAAATCAGAGAAGAGAGGAGAGAACTAGAGCAGGCAGATGGGAGGGACGGGGTGAGATTGGAAGAGATTGGGAAAGGATTGGAGATTGTTTGAGAAGAGACACAGCAAAAAGTCGAGCTAGCCGGGAACAAGGCGTTTAAGGGCGCGAGCGATTATGTGGTTCAGTTAGGGCAGCCGGGCCGGGGAACACACCCCCCCCCTCCAAAAAAAAAAAGGGAAGGGAAAAAAGAAAACAGAGAGCGAGAGGCACCACAACCACGGTCCACACGTTAGTGGGAAGCCGTTGAGATACAAAAAGGAATCAGAGTTATCACTCGGCCCACGGCAGCAGCGTAATCCCAGAAGGTCAGATAGCGATGGGATGTGGGATTAGGGAACTGGAGGTGAGTAGAGAGGGGGAAGAAGTTCAGCAGAGAGGAAACGAGGTCTAGGAATGAGGTCCAAGGAAACACGAGGGACAGAGCCAGAAGAACTACGAGCCTAACTGGACGAGACCGAAGGGAGTATTTAGAAGAGTGGAGGGGGGGAGACACACACACACACACACACACAAACACACACAGACACAGACACAGACACACACACAGAGAGAGAGGAGAGAAGAGCAGAAGAAATGAGAAGGACGGATGAAGGGATGAGATTAAAGTTGAAGTTGAGGATGAGGGCGAGGTTTATGGTTGAGAAGGAGAGACGAGGATGAGAGGAAGATGAGAAGAAGGTGATGAGAACATGAAAAGGATGAGAGGCGGAGAGGCGAAGGAGGATGGGATGACAGGAGAAGACGAAGAGAAGTTTTTTTGGTGAGAGACCACCAAAATAGAAAAATAAGAGAAAATTAAAGAGTTAACTTAATACTCGATACACACACAAAACGCTGCAAAGTAATGATTCTAACATAGACATCGTGACCGGATTACAGCTCCATTACCCCATATTAATTACCGCCTTAATTCTCTTGACCAGGCCAGCGGATGGCCTGTGGGGATTCTGGGTGGGCGGGTCGCTGGCGGGTCACGCGAAAGTCGCCCGTCACCGCCACACCACCACGCCGCTGCCTGGCCGGTGCCTCTACCGCCAAAACAGCCACCAGCTCGATCATCTATCCCCCTTTTATGGACCCTTGGAAGTCGGCAGCAGCCCGTTAAAGAGTCTGAACCAGTTACTCCAAAATTAGAGGTAGAGCGTAGTTATATGATTTGACGCCCAAGTTCTTAGGCCTAGTTCGCTATCTATCTTCAATGACGCTGCCGTTGCCTCCCTTTAGAGCTAGATGGATAGCGCGCACCTCATATGGTCACGAGTAGTAGTAGTAGTAGTAGTAGTAGAAGAAGAAGAAGAAGAAGAATGATCTTGAGGATTCAGTGTTTTCTGGCTGTTCAACAGATTTTGCTTCTTCCAAGCAACCCCGAAGGGTCTGGGGACCTGGGGACCTGGGGACCTGGGGACCTGGGACTATGGGGCGGCGTTTAGCCATGGCCCCCATTACATTAACCAACGGCTCCACTAATATACCCACATTTTCTTGGTGACTGTGGATTGTAGCGCTCCCCTTGATTGGGAGCCTTGGGACCTCTGCTTTCTTTTCATTCTTCTTCCTCTTGACTTCCGATATTCTTCTGATAGTCTGGTGGATGCGAACGGAGTCCAGATGAATATCCGTTGCTTGGCTACGAAATATCAATTGCCCAATAGTTACTCATTTGCCTGGAAGTAGGGTGAAAGGGTCCGTTACCAAGGGGCCTTGGCAGAGAATTGATGGGAGGTTGAGAGAGCACAGAGTGGAGTTTTTTTAAGCAAACAAATCCCATCTTGGCTGGATATAGCTAACTAGTTGAAATAGCTACTGGATGAGCTGCTGAATTCCTCTGGTTAGTTAAATTATGCTAGTTTATATTAATAAAGGGACACCCTGTGAGTCTCTCTGCATGATCAGGAATAAAAAAAACCTCTCCATGCCTTAAGTCCTTGATAACAAAAAATTCATGGAACAGCGGACAGCCAGGGCCCTGCCACCTGTCGGCCGATTCGGCGCCTGGGCCATCCTTGCGCAATCCCCATTTGGTGCCCGTTCTGAGAGGTTACAGCGAATAAGAAATAATCCATGGATACGGTAAACTTGGCTGCCCAATCAGCTGTCCACGGCCGCGCTGTTTCGCCCCAGTGCTTGGCCACAAAATCCAGTGGTTCAATGTTCCTCAGATCCTAGAAATTGAGAAAAGCCGTGTTCATTCTTCATGTTATGACAACTATCCCTGTCTCTCTGCCTTTTCTTCTTCCAACTTCTTCACCTTCATCGTCGTCCTCGTCCTCTCCCACGACTCGACTCCATCGAATCAACTGACTCAAAACTCTAATACACCCCGTACCTTGATCCTAGTTCGAACACATGATCCGAAATCTTCAGTCAGGCACAAGCAAGATTGCTATCAGCTGACAAAATCCCCTCCAGAGGACCAGAGCGTCCTGGTTGGATGGTCACGGAGCAATCTGAAACGAGTTCGTCGCCTCTCCTCTTCCCCCTTTTTCAATGTCTCATAACACAATATGAGCGGTTATCCAATTCTCCGGTTATCGCTCTGTGCAGGCTTGCCACCGCCTCCGCGCGGTCAGATCTTCTACAACTAACGATCCAACCTCCCAACTATCTGTGGTTGCTGCTAGCTACCTCCTCCTGCGCCGCCTCTGTTGTGTCACTTTGCATGGGTCCTATATCTAAATGAAATATGGAAACCCTCTCTATGAGGACACATGCATAAAAATATTTGTCCACTCCCGGATAGATGTTCCTAGCTATCCTCTTTCTTTCTCTATGGGTTAATAACCCTTGGGGGACGTTTCAATATATATGTCAATGTAGCAATGTCCAAGTTTCAAAAAGCGCGCATTGGAAGGCGAGAATCAAAATATGGAATCTATATCACATTATCCATACTTCCATGTATCACATATCGATCTGTCTCAACATATCGACATATCAAGTAAAAAGGGATCATTATCTAATAAATCTTCAGAACACCTACATGTAAAAGCCTCCAGATCTTCAGGAACGCCATTGGTCGCACTTAATTTGAATACGGTAAGTATGCAGATGAATTTTGAGCTAGAATACTTTGATGGGTTTCCTTACTGAGTACAAGTTCCAGACCTAATCGAGGAACTAATCACCATCCAGTTTTCAGATCAAATCAAGCAATTTGATGTGTGAGAGACGTCCAGCCTCCCGTGGAATGCACGGCCATTAACAGCAGGAAAATGCTATCCCACTCAGGTTCTTGTCCACCGACAACTATTTGAGATGTCTAAAAAGCCAAACCCCGGTCAGCTAATTAACCCAGTCGAATACACCCTGCAACGGAAGCAATTAACCATCATCCCCTGAAGATTTTCAAGGTCAATTTGTGTTCAGTCAGAGCCAGACACAGCAAATCTTAGAGGAAGCCTGAAACTGTGTATAATTGACAACTGGTTTCGAAATTCGTAGTTAAAATGTCACAGATGCCGTTCACGGCAGTATAGATTGCCTTTATATAACCATCAGAATACTCTCCTGTGGTAGAATTAAACTACATGTGCAAAATGATTAACTGCTTCATTCTTCCAGCTGTACCTACACGGTTGATATTATATCCAATTTGCTGTTAATAATATCACTTCCTTTTTCACCAATTTCATTCATTGAGAAATGACATGTGAAAAGTAAGAGAAGGGCATGAGTTGAAGACCTGGGCATGTTTCAATTGGGAAAAAATGGTTGATTGAAAACTATTTAATTAACATGACTGACCATCTAATAATTTTTTTCACTCAATGATTTTGTAAATTTCACCTGATTCCTCCAACTTTAAACCTTAACATCATGATCAATAAAACTGCAATTTAGCTTGCAATTGAAGGTTTAAAATTGCAAAAATTTTTAAATTATAAGTAAACTGCTTTGAAATATAAAATCAATCTGACTACATTAACATGATAGTATAAAGATAAGCAAATTTGCTGTAATGCTAAAATTTTTTATACTAGCTTCTTGTCTTTTACTACTTATTAAATTACCTCACGCAATCAGTCCCTCATATCAACTATAGATAGTATCATAAATGATATCACTTATATCAACAATATTAGAGGATACTTCAGCTATTTGAAGTCATATACATTTATATATTTATTAGTTGTAGCTAGCTTGCTAAGTCTCATAATACAATAAAGTTGATATCAGTTCTTTTAGAAATTATTAGATTCTTGTATTATAAGTCTCTTAATATGAACAAACAATATGAGATAAAATACTTGAAAAAAAACTCTATTTTTTCATAAGCTTATAATCTCAAAATTTGATGATATTGATGATCAATTTACATTCAAATAAAATACTAAATTTAACAAAAGAATATATGCTAAAAAGAAGATAAAACTAAGAATCTGAAATTAGAATCTCAGAAAATAGAACTTTAGAGTTTGCAGATTTGCTATTTGCACTCATTACAATTTATAAAAGTGCTTTTGAAGCATTTGACATAGACAAGATAATTTTAAAGAAATCAGATGAGTTTATTAACACATATGAAGACCTGGTTAATGAAATGTCAGAGAATACAATTGGCTCTAGTGAATAGGTATCAAAAGTTAATGAAGTAACTCTGATGAGATTAGAGATTGCAAAACTTCAGCAAGAAGTTAAAAGAATAATAGCTAGCAGAGAGGTACTTACTGTCAATACTATTAGTAATAAAATAAGTGAAGATTATGATGATGTAGAACAAGCTCTGTTCAGACTTCTCAACAGCATAAGATTACTGAACTGAGGTAATTAATAATCATAACTATCTAGCAATAGTATAGTAATTAACTTCATAATTACTCTGTAAATATGAGAACTACCTAGCAACAGCACTAAGAAAAGAGGCAACTGCACTAAGAAAAGAGCTAACCAGGCTTTAGTGGTTGATTTTATGATTAACCTCTGGTCAAATCCTCACATACAAGGGTCTATCATCTCAATGTAAACTACTATCTCAATATAAAAATTATTTTATCCAGGATATTAAATTAATTTATCAATGAATATAGTAAAATTTATTAAATATAATTTACTTATATAGTAGATAATCTATTTATAACTTTTTCTAATAAATTTGATGACTTTAATATTAATACTCTTATCTCTACAATATTGTTTAAGTTTTATCATAACTTTTTTTCATTTCAAGTATAACTTCTCTAATATCTTTTAATTATCAAGCTTTTGATGAATAACTATTATTTTATATATATTAGATGTGAATATGACCTCTCTCTTATGTATTACTCTTCAGAATACTCATCAGCAGTGTTCACAAATTGCAGTGACTATGATAGTTTTTAAGATCTTATTTTGCAGAAAAGTTACTGTATTAATTATTATAATACTACTATTATAGAGCTTTTATAGCTCAATTTGAATATTTTTAGAGTTTTTAATATTCTTTATAACCTCTAATTTATATTTATATTAATTAAATTAATATATAATTAAAAGAATATATCAGATTAAAAAATTAATAAAAATAAATATAGATAAAATTATAGAAGTTATTTTAAACTTATATAATTTATTATAAATAATAAATAAATTGAATAAAATCTTACCTATTGCTTCTCATCTTTTTTTGATTATATAAACTTTAAATTTTACCTTTTATATAGAGATGATAATATAAAAAAATTTAACTTTTATAAAATTTTTATAATCATATCTTGTTATTTCTTTAACTACCAATAAATAATAATGCTTGAATACTTAAAAAACCTCTATATTTAGAGACTGCAATAGATGACTTATATATGAAATAAAATGGAATAAAATAATATTATTTTTATTATAATAATTTATAAATTTATATATATAGTAGAAGTTAAAGCTATTCAATAGAAGCAGATGATAAGATTCTTTGATATGACTTTTTATAGAGTGATGAAATTGTTGAATTTACCAAAAAATGATTTAATTATTATTACAGTTAGTATCTGATATATTTTTCATGATATTTTTTTTTAATTTCATTGATTCAGTATTTCTATAGCTACCTCATAATAAGAATTTATAAAATAAAAATAATAAAACTGTTTGTTAAAACTACTTCAATAATTGTAATATTTTCTCTATTATTTGAGCTTTTAATATAAATTTATCTTTGAGAATCTTATATCACTATTTACTGATTTTGTTCAATTCTTATTCTAAACTTTATTTTATTAAAGTTATAGATATCACTGAATTAGATCTCAAATTTATTCATTATCTTCTAAAAATAGTTAAATCAATTATGTATAAATAATAACTCATAAATTTGCTTCCTTGCTATGATAATAATTTTCTGCTATAATATATTATATTTAGAATAATATTTGATAAATTTATTAACTCAATATTCTTTAATCTCAGATGAAAGATTAATAAAATCTTTATAACTTTCTGTAAAGATAAATTGAGCAGCATTAAATATTATTAATTGATTGAAAAATAGGTCTATTTTATTTAATATTTTTATATACTAATAGAGTGATTTTTTCTAGTCAGAAAATAGTAATTAGTTTGCAGAAATTCTTTTATTATGAGAAAGATAGTCATAAAATTGATTAATTAAATATGAGTAAAAAATATTGAATTTTTTTATCAATATATTAATATTAGAATTTTTAATATTAACTATGAATTCTAAAGCTTCTGTGATTTTATTCTTTATTAAAATATATAAAGAAGTCATTGCGTTAACTAGTTATTGAATTTTAAAGATGAAATAAAGTATCTAAGAAAATATTTTATATTGAGATAGTGGTTAGTGGTTTACATTGAGGTGGCAGACCCTCATATACAAGAGTCTGACTAGAGGTTGATTATGAAATCAACTACTAGGGCCCGGTTATATAAAGAGAGAAGAGAGTTTTTCTCAAACTTATTTTATAGAAATTATTTTAGTATTTTATTGAGATAGCTTATATAACTGATAATTATACACCTGTTTCACCTGCATCTAGATTGAAGCTATGATAAAGATTTTATGAACTACTTATAGAAGAAAAGTAGAACTTTTATCATAATCAAGACCTTAATTGAATTTAGAGATTAAATGAGAAATATTAAAAAATTTAGTATACTGACTGATTCTATAAATTATTTAATATAAAAGAAAGAGATTCTATAAATTGATAAGTAATTTAAAATTAATAATAATTTTAAAAAGAAGTAATCTGCTTTTGAGAGCAGTATTAGTATGAATATATAGTATTTTTAAACTGAAAAAATATATAACTTTATAATCACATATAATCTTCAATCTTTTCATAGGTAGAGGTTAATTTTATAATACTCTCATATCATCAGTTATTAGTATATATTCTATGAATATTATAAAAGAGAACTTTTTAGAAAGACTAATAGTTTATTAAACTCAATTTTTTAAAAAATTAATTAACTTGATAACTAAGTTAAAAGACTTAAATAGATAATTTATTAAATATTTGATTATTATTTAAACGAATTATTCTCATTTAAAATATAA